AGTAAACACAGCAAATGCAGTCTTTGCTTCTATTTGACAAGATAAAAACTGCAGCGCCCAGCTGTTTAAGGTAATTTACATATTTTATAGGGACCAATGGGCTTGAGGCTCAGTGCCAGAGGCAGCATAAGAAACTAAGAAAGTGTTGAAAAATGGATGAATGCACCGTTTGTTCATGAGATTTTTTTGACAATGAGAAACAAGTAGGGGTCAAACGGATTCTCTGATCTGATATTCAGCAATTTTCTGATCATTGCTTATGTTTTTAACCTATTTCTGATTTTAAAAAATGTGCAACTTTGGCTATGATGCAACCTCTCACTATCTGTAGTCACTTTTTGATTGGTTGATTGGTTACATGTCATGACTAATCAACAATCAACACTGAAAGATAAATATTTTAAAAATCTCTTAATTAAACAGGCGAAACATAAACAAAAAAGTTTTATGTCGAAGTTTGTGTTTTGACACCAACATTTTCATTTTTACTGACGTAATAAAGGCATTTTAACAATGTTTTGTGTTGGAGTTCGTGTCATTCTAAATTTTTACACTAAGATTTTCACGTATATTCCATCTTAAAATCAGTTATCGATCTCCTTGATAACTAATAATCAGTATCAGCCTTGAAAAAAAACATCAGTCCACCTTTGGAAAAGCTATCCTTTAAGCTATTACAAGTTGGGTTTCTCTTTTCTTAGTGAAATGAATTTAAACAAACACAATGTTCACATTCAAACCTATACAAGGCTTTCAAATATGACTGGAAACGAAGCGTGCCCACGCTGAAAGGTTGTGAATAAACTAAAAAATGAAACGCGAAAATTAGACATACATACAGATTTTATCATTTGAATTATTCATTTAATTATCCCAACATTTAAACTCAACAGTCAGGGCTTCTCAGTCTTCTGTTGGCCTTTCTCTCTGTCGGTGTTTAACAGCAGATTATCGCTGATGAGTTCGTCAAGGGTACACAAAAGACTTTGCTCCTGCTCATTTCTTAGCAATAAATACTCCACACGCAGGAATGACAGTGTGGACAAAAGACTAGACGTTAATTTATCTTCCCTATATGACCCTGATGCAAATGAGGAAAATGAAAGCAAGCAATCAATTCCCTAATTGGGTTTGCGCTATTTTAACTTGTTAAGGGGGCCTCCGTCTAGATTAAAGGGAAGGTCAATTTCTCATTGTGGCAGTTACTGTATTCATTTCACAGTGCAACAAAGGAATCTGCCAAGGCTTGGAGGGATGCTGCAGTAAACCAGATGCCTCCCCATGGTGCGAGTCCACCACCACCACCGCATCCAGTTCATCTCAGGTGTAATTACAACATGACACAATGGTTTGGTCAGAAATTCTACGTCTGCATTATGTTTTTAAATTGCAGGTCATCTCTGTGCTTTTGTAAAAGATTTTTCACAGCATTTCTGCTAAAAACAAACTTAAATTTTTCAATTATTTGAAAATGTCACAATATTATTAATGAATAAAGGGCACGTGTTGTTTATGACCCAGAAAGATGAATGTCCTAACTGTTGGTAATACAAACGAGGGCTTCCCTTATATAGTGTTTTTGTTTTCTAAGGCTGATACAGATATTGATTATTAGTGATCAAGGTGACTCATATTTAGAATTGAAATATATTTGCAGTAAATGTTAAAATATTGGTGTGAAAATTTTGAGTAACGCAAACACAGACATTTTAAGATGTCTTTTGGTCACTTTTAGTTGAAAGGGATTTTTTTTAACATTTATCTTTTAGTGTTGTTCGGTTATTACTCATATTCAGAAAATGCTGTCACCAGAGAAGACAAAGTGATTAGACCGTAAAACAAACAAACAAACAACCCCCCAACATTTTTAACAATATTTTTCCAGTTTTGTTCAATTCTAGACAATAGCTAGTAAAATAAAATATAGATTTTTACATGTTAACCATAAAAAATAGACTAAAATTGTAAATAATATCCATATCATTTTTAACAATAATTCATTCTTATACAACATTTAACTGTAAAATGACACTGTTTTTGTTGTATTTCAATTAGTGCATTTTATTAATTTTTTAAAATTTAGCCTTTATTTAACCAAATATACGAATTTTACAGAAATGTTTGAACTGTTATTTCAGATTTTTCCTGTTTTGTTAAATATTTTTTTTAAAGTGTGTTATGTACTTAATTGCAATGAATACAAACAGACTGCAGTTAAGCTAAAGAAAATAAAGTTGGACCTAAAGTATGATCTTTTCCAGTGTATAGATAGAGAGAGGCGACTGCATCAGAGCCAAAGAAGCTCATTTTACATTATTTTATGAGGAACTGGTTAAAAGATTACGCTACTGATAATTGGGGAAACACTGAATATCGGGTTCTGATGTAAACAAGCTGTAAAGTTCCTGAAACTTGAGTGTTTTTTCTTGTTACGGTAAATGTTATTAGGCGACTAAATGGGCACGACCTCTAATCTACCTTCGATCTCTGTGGGTGTGTTGTTTACTGACGGCATTGAGTAACCACCATGCAGCTGTCAACAGATTTTAATTTAAATAAATCCTGATTGTTGTGCAGACACACACAGCATCACATGTTCCAGCAACGACTTTAAACCAGTGAAAGCAGCACAGACGGAATACTTGAAAGCAACCTCTCCTGCTTCCTCAGCTGACCGAGCGAACTGCAAGAACTTGTTGTAAATAATGCACAGCGGAAAAAAAAAAAAAGAAAAGATTTTGACTTTGGTGTGTTGCTCCAAAATCCACACACTGATGTGTTTGTAGTATCATTCCTTTAGAGAAGACAAGCAAACAGCAGCAGCCCTGCTAGGGAAGGTTATGAAGTTCAAGCCGAGGCCTGAAAGCCGAGCGGCTGCAGAGCTGCAGCGGAGCATTTATTTTGGCTTCCTGGGACGCAAATCAGACTGTTGATATACAGCATGAGTCAGCTACTCCCTCATGTCACATCAATAGTTTATTTACCAGCGGAGAGAAACCACAGAATTAGAATAAAAATTGGATTATGTACCCCTGCGCTAAAAGCAATGCATTCAATTACTGCATCTGAAAACTTCTCTTGAGGGGGAGTGAGGAAGATCTTTTTGCTGCATAGCTATTTATCAAAAAGGAAGGAGTGGGAGAGAAACATGTCATGTCTGCTGGTTCAGTCCTGTTACTATGTTTTCTTGTTCCTGTTGGGAGGGAGAGAAATCTGTTAAAAGCTCTACAAACCACACAGTCTTTTAACAAGATGCACTTAATCATGCTGCTGTTTGCTTTAGTTAAGTAAGGGATTGGCTTTGTCCGGACCCAGAGTGGCGAGATGTTGATTCCAGCCGGTTTGTGAACCCTAACCTCTTTATCAGCCTTTATCTGCATTTGAACAGGTTTGTCGTGGGGGCAAAAGCTAAGCGGACGAACGAGATTAAATATAGGCCCATTTTGCGAGTTGTTAATGTATCAACCGCATGTCAAAGTGCTGCCGATGGGTTCACCCAGAGTTCATGTTATTAGTATTACAGGCCTTTCATGCTCTCAAATCTCACACAGATCAAAAGGGCTTTGTGAGGTATGCCACCATCAGCCAATTAATGCCCACGAGTACAGCTGCTCTGCCTGGAAGGTCGACACTAAGCACTTTTCACTAGCAAAACGCCTCAACTTTTTTTTCTTTTCTTTTCCCAACCTCGTTTTTAGGTAATTATTCAGCTCTTTGGGAAGGTTTTGTAATTCACACCCCAAACGTTGCGTAACAGGAGTCACAAGAGTGACCTTGAACTGCTTGAGTCAAATAACAAACACGCTGAGCCCGGAGAGGGAGAGGGATCTACGCAAATCCCACCCACATTAACGGCAAGGAGACGCAGCCGGGGAGACCGAGGAGAGGCATTTTGGGCTTAGAAGAACACTGCTTCGGATAAAATCTCAAGGACAATGGTTACTTTTCAGGCATTTAACCAGCACCCTGAAACTTAGGGTGGCCTGAGATTACTGTGGAGGGCTTCTCACTGGAGAAAAATGCAACAGGATACACGGCTGCTGCCTGAATTAATCTGGTGATGGAACAGTAAAAAAAAAAAAAAGAAGAAACGCCTCCTCCTCTTCAAGTCACAGCTTCCTCTGACCTCATCATTAAATCCAAATTACACCAAGAGACTTGAATAACGGTGCAGACAAATCACGCTTCAGCAGCTTATCATGACTTTGACTTTATTATTCCTAGTTGTGAGTCACATTCGGGCTCTTCTGAGCTGTTCCACCTACACCAAGTCTTTGGTCTTCTGCTAAATATATGTCTGACATGAACACTCTTGAGTCGAGGCTGGAAGTTGCTCTGGGCCGACCCGTGATAAACTGTAGTTGTTTGCATGCAAGCGTCACTATACTTCAACAGATTCTGCAACGGAAAGAGCATGGCAAAAATTTTTAATGCACACAAACTACAGAACCGTACCGTCGATCATTCCACGGCTAGAACAAACCCAGCATTGTGATTACAGCTTCAAAATCAAACGCGGCGCATTGAATGTGCCGATAGAAGAACTATTTAACAGCCTTTAAAATGAAAGCAAATAGTTTGCGGCCCTAAAGTTGAGGGATAAATATAACGCTGCCACCTAGTGGGGACTGAACGGCAACAGAAAAATCTGTTGAATCGATTTTAAAAGACACAAGAGAAAAAAAAATTTAAAAAAATCACAATCGCACAATCTTTAAACAGATGAGATCACAGATAATCCCTGACAAACTCCAACAGCCAAGGAATGCTGAAAGCTTGAGGCACGATGCAACTATAAAAAGGCACATGGATTGTTACCATAGTACAGTAGTGGGATGTAATTTAGGGTTTCCTTTTTATTCATACAGCAGCGATGGCCGTCATGGTGCACAAATTTCCCAAAATGCAACAAAATGTGAAATCCAAACACAACCTTTTTTTTTTTTTTTTTTTTTTTTGTTGCCAAACAGAAATCAAAACAAGCAGGCTGTCACCACCACCACCGCGTCAAATCTGAGAGGAAACACTGCATGCTGGCGTTTTCTTTTTTTTTTTTTTGTTTTCATTTTTGATTTCCTGCGTGTGACATGTATCCCAGTCTATTGGTGAATTTGTCCCTGTCAATGTTCTTGTGCTCCGGGATGTGTTTGTAGATGCAGTCCTGCCTCGTGCAGCCCGTCGTCCTCCAGAAGAAGCACTCTCTCTTCTTGAACATGCTACAACAACAACAGGAAAAACTACTGGTCACGGAAAGATTACACCGTAGGGGAGGTGTGTCAAAGTGTAGTAAAGCTTTAGAATAAATAGACTAATTTATTGTTTAAATGTAGGCGCAGGAGGCCAGATGTGATGAGGTTTCTTTGTCAGTCTTTACAGTGAATTAATACACAAAATATATGGTATAATTCGCACTTGTAGAAGAAAATATGAAGTTTTCAGAAGCGGTTTTAAAAACTGGCAACTCATCTGCATACGTAGTCATAGATATTTCTGACATCCACACAGTTTAAAGTTGTACAAAAAGATATGACCAAACTACAAGTTCTTTGGTTTTAATTATGAAAAAGTTCCCGTCATTTCCAGACTATAAGCCGCTACTTTTTTCACACGCTTTGAACACTGCGGCTTAAACAATGACGCAGCTAATTTATGGATTTTTATGATTTTTACGAATTTGCCTTGAGACAAAAGTGACGTTGAGAGCAACAAGGAAAGAGAGACTGAGGAAGTGACAAAGTAATTCTGAGGCTGTTCAACTCCGACACTGAAGAAGACGACTTTAGTGGTTTTAGTGCAGGAGGAAGATGAAGATAGAGATCAATGACTTTTCCTGGTAGGCTGCTGGATGTTTTATTTTCTTAACCAGCCGTGTTACAGTTCAGAAAAAAAGCATTTATGTATTTGTGTATGTTACCGCTACGTATTTAATTAAAAGTTAAAACATCTTTCTGTGTAAATATCTCATGTTCCAACGTGGACACCTGCAGCTTAAAGACAAGTGCGGCCTGTATATGTACAAAACGTGTTTTTCTTTTTAAAGTTAGTGGGTGCGGCTTATATTCAGGTGCGCTCAATAGTCCACAAATTACAGTAAACTGATTATCGATACAGGAGAAATAATAGTATGTTGTTACCCTGGACGTGAGCTGTTGTCTGTGGCAGCTGTTTTGGAAACACCGAGTCCAGTGTGGATTTTATACGGATATCGAACCGTCAGAGGAGAACCATCAAACACCATTCCCTGTAGAGGAAAAACACAGTCATCAGGTCACTTCAGGTCTATTAATGCACTAAATGCTGCTTAAACATGTTTGTAAAACTCTCAACCAGAGCTGTAAAAAACAAATCCTGTTACATATCGTGTGTCTAGTGTTCACAGATACTCAAACGCAGTAAATCTTTACAGCTGTAATGACACCTACATCCGTTTTGTTCTTCATTATATATTAATCTGACCACTATTTTCTTCAATAACAGATTTATTATTTGGTCTACAAAATGTAAAAAAAAACTCTAAGTGCAAGTTGACGTCTTTAAATGTGTTTTTGTGTTCGAGCAAAAGTTCAAAATAATAATAACTAGATTTTAAAAGGCATTAAAAACTGTACCTAAACCGTAGCAAGTGATTGTTTTGCTTATAAAGAGTCTAACCCTTATTTTAACCATCAGTTCATTTACAGTCAACTAATTGACTCATCATTTCAGCTCCAGTTTGGTCTATGGTGGCTTAAGAATCATAAATACAGTCGTCTGTTTTCCAGCTGTGCAAATAAGCAAAAAAAGTGTTAAAGAAATGTCTGAAGTGCAGGAAAAAGTTTATAACTTTCATGTAGCTCTTTAGCAAAAGTCCCTTGCATTCTCTAAAAATCACAGTGCTCGTAACTACCTCATTACTAACTAATAACAAACTTTAAGCAAATTTGTGAATCATTTTTTGAGCGTGTATTCGGCCCATCAAAGTTCTACAAGAGAGCCACAAACCCTAGGAAATGAAAAGCTGCTCTACAGAGAAACAGCCGTCGGGTTTCATCTCAGGGCTGATTTGTACGATGGAGAAAGTAATGCTGCAGTTTTGGGGACGCAGACGAACTTTAAAGCATAAATAAACTTTACAGAGGAAAGAAAAGTCACATCTTTAAAGACATGCAATCAAAATAAGTTTCCAGCTTCCTGCTCTTTAAATAACTCTCCAGGTTGTGAATACAAACAGCTTAAAACACATTGTGGTTTACCTTCTGGCTTTGCACTTGGGATATTTTACTAATAAAAATCCTTTGTTTTCAGTCTGTAACACTTTGGGAATCTACACATTTTTAAGTTCAAAATGTTCAAACCCATTAAAAGATACAGCCTAAGATCCTGGCCAGTGTTTGAAGTAAAAAAAACACCAAAGCTACTGATTGTGAACGTTTCCACAAGGTCACTGCTTCAGTGTGGATTATTGTTCTAACAAGAAAACATCTCCAGCTCCACACTTACTCCACTGGTAGCACATAATTTGATTGCACCTTTTTCTTGGGCACAGCGTGGTATTAATTAACCTTGCATGCTGATGAATACTTAATTTGCATACCCTAGTTTTGTACTGACTGAATGACTTCATTATAAAACATTCTGACCAGAAATTTGTTCATTTTGTCACCAGTCTTTTCCTAGAAGTCATCTGATATCACACCTGTAAACTGGGCCGCACATGCTGAAAATCTGCTCGTCAACAGGCACTAAAATGTACTGATGTTCCCTAAACGTCTCACATTTAGATCCTGATAGGAAGCTGCAGTTCCCTCAGACAGATGTGTGACCGAAAACGACTTTGAAAATGGGGAACTAAGGCGTTCTCACAACAGTTTTACACAAGTTGAAACCAAGCTAATCCACATTTGCTTAGCAGAAAACCACTGTAGACGATGGCGCTTGTGCAACTGTGCGAAGCCAAATGCATGACTGTGAATGATATTTATTTAATTTTGCAGCCCTAGTTCTTATGTTTGCCAGTTGTAATTGAATGTAGAGCTTCTTTTTCCTTCACTGGGTGAGTCAGTAAGTTCCTGCCTGCAACTGCACCCCCTTCCTCATTTTTACATTTTTTTTAATTTTTATAATAAGCGGCTGCAGAACACTTTATTTTGGGAACATGCAACAGCTTAATGGCTTGTGCATGCATCAGACAGTTGCAAGACTTTCCACCTCTATGTCTAATGCAGTAAACCAAATCAGGATAATGATCATCATGCACAAATATGACTCAAATTTTAACTCGCATACTGTCAAAAAGCGGTCACATATGCAGCCCTTTAGGTCGCAGTCCGGAGCCCTGCAGTAGGTGGCATCACATTACCAGTTCTGCTGCTTCAGCTCTTGTAAGTGGCTCAAATTTGACACAACAGCCAAATGTCTAAACATGCATTATGTAAATATCAATCAGAGGGAACCGATACGTACATTAATGCACTGGATGGCTCTCTCACAGTCCTCCTTTCTGGTGTAGTTCACAAAGGCACACTGATGCTCCAGCAGCATTTTGATGCTGTAGACTGTCCCGGCTCTGAGAGGGCAGGAGAGGATATTACACAGCTTATGTAAACAAGGACGCTTCCGTCTGCCCGTTTCTCATGGACGTTTCCAATTCATGCATGAGAAAAGGAATGCCAAAGAGATTTAACGATGAATCAATCGACAGAAAATGTAATATTTTAAGAATCAAACAATCCTTGGGAGACTTTAGACACAAAAAAATGCAGTTTCTAGCATTTCAAATGTGAACTTTTGAGGTTTTTCTTTGTCAGACATGATAGTAAACTGAATATCTTTGACTGTTTGTATGACAAAACAGCATCTGAAGAAACTGTGGGGACTTTTAACAAGCATTTTTCCACTATTTTCTGACACTTTAAAGAGAAAAACAAACAATCGAAACAATAATCAGGTAATCGATAGTCAAAGAAAATTCAGAAAAATAAATACAAGCTTGGCCGAGGTAGAAACATTAGCAGATCACTATGAACACAACAGAATTGCATTGGATTAATTCACAATTTGGTCTTCTTTTCTACAAATGTGATTACTGTTTGTGCCACCTTTGAATGAAAACCTAAAAAATGTTTTTCTGACATCTCCACTGAAAGCAAGTAAGTTTGAAAATGCAAGTGCTCCTATTTTACCTTCACTGTGAATTGCGCTGATTTTTAAAATATTTTTATTCACATTTAATTTTTTACTGTAAACGGACACAAACAAAAACATGCTCTGAGGCGCGAAGGAGGCAAAAATGGTGATACTTCACCTGCTGAAGAGCTCGTGGAGTTTAACGTAGGTCATAGCAGGAGCCAAGAATCCGACCCAAACAGGGAAAAGATTCCTTTTAACAAAACAGCAGAAGAACCTTAAATTCAAACGTCTTTTGCACTCGAAGCAAAATTTAAAAAATGGCATCGAAAACCTTAAAAACATCTCATCCTGCTTCCTTTTAACATCAAAATCAAAGTTACACAAAATTCAGTAACTCATCTGATTTCTTGCTTAATTTCATCATAACTACAAAATACATGAACAATTTAAGTCTGTCTTAAACAAACATGAAGTAAAACTTTTGGTTTAAAAACGTAACTAATAAACGAGAGCTTACGGTTTAACAGGATTCCTGGAGGGGGGCGTCGGCGAATGAGACTTTGCTCTGCTATGATCCGAAGCCTCAGACTCTCTGACGTGCTGCGTTCGAGGACGGCTTGTCTGTTGGACAATCCATTCTCCCTCGTCGTAGTGTTCCTGCACCACTGGCGGGTCTGCGTTGTCCCTTCTGGCGCCAGCACCTGCAGAGAGCGAACCAACAGCAGAGCCGTTCAGATCACAGCGATGGAATCTTTCCAACGCTGAGAAACATCTTTTTGTATTTACCTCCAGGACTTTGGGTACCATCGCCGGCAAACAGAGCTTCCACAGCCTCCTCTAACGAGGCGTGAGTCTTCAAGGCCTCGGAGCTCTGAGCCCAGGTGAAGCCCATTTCCTGAAATACAAAAAAAACCTCCTGAGCTAACAACATATAAACATACAGACATTAAAGACTAAGATTTTAACTACTGCTCTGACCAATACTGCTTGTCAATCGGTACTTTAATCGTACTCTTTGTATAATTAAGATTGCTTTACTTTCTCATACCTACTGGATATAAACAATCCTTTAGAAATATTTTGTGCTGTTTCTACCTTTTTAAATGTGAGGTTTTGAGGTATTTCTTTGTCACACAGGCATTTTTGAAAACTATTTTCTAACACTTTACAGAGAAAAACTAATAATTGAGAAAATAATCAACAACTGGTGGGAAAACAGTCACAGCAAGAGCAGAGGAAATTGTATTCATGTTTTATTTATTCTTAGAGCTTCAAGGAGGATTTCTGCTTCTTTTCAGCTGCTGTGCTGAGTGACAGTGTTTTTAGCTTTTTAGCCACTGGGGACTTTTGCATTTTCATTTTTGCCTTGTAAATAGTTGAGCAGGAGGGTTTCCTACCATGAGGTGCAACGTCTGCGCTCGTTTCAACTCCTGTGCGGCCTCAGCACTCGTACTTTCCAGTTTCAACACCTCCTTGTAGATCAGCGAAGCTTCATAGTACCTCTGGAGAAGACGTATTTGGAATATCACAGGAAATAAGTTAGGATTTAAAATCTTAAACCAAGAAATAAACCTGAAAAAGCTGAAGAGTTACAGGAAATTTCCAGTTTGTTTGGTACAGCGAGCTTAAAATAATGCAGTCAAACAATCCCTTAGAATTTCTTTAAAGCAAAAAAGTAAAAAAAACAAGTGCAGTGTCTAGTTTTTCAAATTTACATTTCTTTTACGTTTTTCTGTCACACATGATTGTGAACAGAATATATTTGATATCTGAGTAAATTGTGAGAAACAGGCATTTTTTACACTTTAGAGAAAAATGAAAAAAAACAGTCACAGCCACAGAAAATTCTATTTAAATAAATAAATAAAAGCAAACTTTTGCGATATATTAGGTTCACCAAGCTTAAAATAAAGCAGTCAAACAACCCTTTAGAAAAAATGTGCCATTTCTAGCTTCTAAAATGTGAAATTTTTAGCTTTTTGTGTCATACATTGTACATAGTTCACAGTAAATTGTGAGGAAAAGGGCATTTTTTCACTATTTCCATAAAGAGAAAAACAAATAATTGAGAAAACAATTAAATAATAATTAAAAACTGTTGCAGAAAATCATTACAAAAATTAAAAATACTAACTTTTAGTATCAGTTTATTAGCTACATCAAGCTTAAAATAACACAGTCCAGCAATAAATCCTACTTTCATGACTTGTAATTTTCAGTTTTTGTAAAAACGTTGAGGAGGAGACTCGTAGTTTGTCGTGCTGTTAAGTATTTCTGTTATTCAGACAGATGTTCCCTTTACGCTGTAGGTGAATAAAGACAGGTTAAATGACAGTATGAAGCAACGCAGCGCCGCCTGCATGTTCACACAGCTGAATCAACGCCTCTCAGCTGGACATTATCACCTTTATGATGGTGGATTTATTGCAGGGCTGCATCAGTTTCAGCTTCACAATAAACCGGCGACTGAGTGTCCATCGCAGTTTATTTGCCGCTGATATACAACAAAAGCTCCTTTACAGCTGCATCTCAAAGCTGTACGTTGTAAATTAACTGTGTTGACTATACGGAACATTTTGTACAATTATAGGTCTGAAAAATGTCGATCCAGTTGCATCATTCAGAGGAAATATTAAAAAATCATTAGAAGAATTATGAGCGGTGTTAACTGGAAAGAGAAGCAGCGGTTTACCTTGAGCCCGCAGAGAGCTTTCCCTTTCCTAAATAGACCTTTTATCCAGTTCGGTTCCATGGAGAGAGCGAGGTCTGCATCCCTGAGTGCGTTTTCATGCTGCTGTAATCTTTCATAACAGAGGGACCGGTTTCCAAATAGCCTGAAACACGAGCGCAAATACAATTTGTGGCCGTTAATAGTAACCGCTGCTGTGTGGTTTAACGACAGCTTAAGTCAATTTGAGTCCATTTCCTTACTTAAATTCCTTTGGGTTGTGCTTAATGGCGTCAGTAAAGAATCTCACTGCCATTTCAAACTGTCCAGAGGCAGCCAAACGATTCCCCATATCTGGGAAAAAGAAGAGAAACAACGGCGATGCCCGTTTCAGTACTTTCACTTCTTTTTTTTTTTTCTTGTTTAATGTCAAGGTCAGTAGGAAGATTTTACTTACTGGCAAGCTCGATGCTTCTTTTTGCATACTCATCCACAACCGGATCCACTGTTTTCTGTCAAAATTTGTATTTCAATTAGTCTGACGCACGCACTCCACTACAGGAAACACTACATTTGCATACAGGTTTCTGTTAAACACCAAGTTGTGATGATTTCAGGCACAAAACAGGAATTATTTGAGCATAAAAGAACCAAACATGAAGAAATATAACTAAAAAGTCAGACTTCAGTGGGTCTAATCTGATGATAAATATAACATTTCAGCCAGTTCCTAGTTACTAATATAACCACAGAAAACAAATTATAGTTTAGTTGGTAAAATAAACAACTTTGAGATTATTTTGTAGATTTTTGATAATCACGCCTCTACATTCCCACCTCTTCCTTGGTTTCAGGCTTCTCTTCTGTTTTCTTTCGAACTTCAGGTTTCTCAGCGACCTCTGTCTTTTTCTCCTCGGGCTGCCGAACTTCAGGTAATTTACTTTTCTCCCTTTTTGTTTCTTTTGTAGGATTCTGGTTACACGTCTCCGCCGGCGCCGATTTAGCAGAAGCAGCGCATGAATTATTTAAATCTTCTTCCTGTGGTGGACAAGACGAGGCGGTTGTGGGATAATCATCTGCAAGGTACTTTTGTGAAGCGATCACGTCATTCTTAAAATCACGATTTATGCCAGAAAGCGTTACGGCTACGCATTAACTGACTTTGGCGTACAACAAATCCTGATACAACCGCAGATTGTTAAAGTTTATGAAAAGAAAACTGAGATTCTGTTCCATGTCAAGCAGAAATATAGAAACCTCCACAAACCTTTTGCTCCTCATCTTCTTTCTTATTCACCGTAACAAGAATTTTTTCTTCAGCATTATTACTTTGCTCATCACGTCCAGTTGCCTCGACTGCATTTTGAGATTCACCACATTGAGAGGACTCATCTGCCTCTGCATTACTTTCAATTATAGCGGTTTCTTTTGGATTGTCTGAAGAGTCTGACTTGGCTTGTTCTTCCTCCTAAAATGACAACAACAACAAAACAGCATTACAAGTGATCAGCATGAATTTTTAAAAAAACGGATTTTATTTCCTGACTGTAACACGTTCATGTACAGTCGTTCTCTAATGTATTCACACGGTTCCATTAAAGAAAAGGCAAAATTCACAAAAGTCACTCAAATAACTAGAAACTGAAAAAAGTAATAATAAATAAAAATTTGCTAAATTCTAATTTAGTGAAATAAGACATTGCTTTGGAATTGTGGGTGAAAAGAATAATTGAAAAAAAAACAACCAAACTGTCCCAGTCAAATTGGAGCCCTTTGCTGATGAGCAACAGGTGCAGAAGTCTGATGGAGAGTTACAGAAAACACTTGATGGCAGTGATTTGCTCAAAGGGTTGTTCAACTAAATATTAATTCATGGGTTCCATCATGCTTGTTTGCTTTTCTTTTTTTATTTCTGTTGAACCACAATTCAAAAGCAATGTCATGATTTTCATTGAATCTTTTGTCAATTCCAACTTATTTCAGTGACACCTGTTTTTGTTCCTTCTTTAATGGGAGGCTATGAATACATTTGAGGACGACTGTAGCAGCAACAAGAACAAAACTAGACTTACATGTAAATTTTCTTTTAGTGCATTCTCCTTTTCTAAACGTTTCTTTTCTTTTTTACGCTGTAACGAAAAGAATGAAACATGTTGTGAGCCGCCGTCAAAGAAAAACATTCAGATAGTGTCAAATTATAACATTAAAGCATATGCTGACCATTTTCTTGCGCTTGTTTTTTCTAGTTTTCTCCTTACGTCGCTCCTCTTCTTCTATTAATTCCTTTGCAATTTTATCAGCCTCCTGAAAACAAGCATGTGTGAAAAGGGGGGTTAATTTCTTAATCTCTTTATCTATTTTCCACAAAGTGCATGAGTCAGCGAGAAACTTGCAGCCCGGTTTCATTTTCAAACAACAGAAACCGAAGCGTGGCACCTCATCAGTGAGTTGCTTTATCTGAGGATGCGGTTCTAAAGTCCTGTGAGCAGCTCTGCTTGGACGATAATAGCGATCATCATCATTGTCCTCCTCCTCATCATCATCATCATCATAGTCATCGTCCTCGTCTGAATATATGAGATCGTCCTCTAAGGGCTTTAAAAAATTTAAACCTGCAGGAAAATACAAAAAAAAAAGACCACACATTTACTCCAGTGCCCTTCTTTTAAATTACACACAATAATCTGAAGGTCAAAAATAGTTTAATTGTATTAATATCTGCTAAAATCTGCTGATTTCTATTATTCCTAAAGATTTTTTTGTGGGTGTTTGATGTTGAGGGATTCGACATTAATCAGTATTTTCACTGTATCATAAATCCAGAAAAGGCCTCACCGAACAGGGCAGGCGCGAGGACATCCAGGAACGAGCCTGCAGAAGTGCGTCCATTTATGTAATCCACCATCGACTCCTGAACAGGGAAAAAAACAGCAACTTCAACGCATCCATCAACCTGAAACAATCAGGTGGCTGACAGAAAATTAAACAGCAACTAGCTTAACGGGAGATTAATCATCTTAATACTTTTTCATTGGTTTCTGGTTCCTAAATGTTTGCTGGTTTCACTCGTCTGTAGTTTTTATTAGCTTCATTAACAGAAGAAGGCTGTGAGAACTGTAGAAAACGCCAGTTAAAGGACTTTCCAGTGGAGAGGTGACAGAATAAACAGTCTGACAACGTATACTGAAACCAGGGCAAAACAATTAATTGATTTCAAATTCAGAAAAATCCGATGAGCACATTACAAAGGCTGCAATTAAGGACAAACGAGGTGAAGCGATCAAATAATGAGAATAATGCTTTAATTCAGGTTTATTTCATTTGAGGAGATTAAAACTTTCATGGGTTATTTATGCTTGTCTACTGATTAGTGTTTAATACAGGGATCAGGCACGCTGTTGTTTGACTGTCATTAGGACAGCAGGTAATTATTCTCATTGCCGATGAATTGAATGGCTGTTTGGTCTATAAATGTCAAAATAAATGAGTGAAATGTCGATCCCAAAGTCCAAGGTAATGCCCTCAAATGTTTTGTTTTGTCCACAACCCAAAGATATTCAGTTTACTGTCACAGAGGAGGAAAGAAAACCAGAAAACATTCACATTTAGGAGGCTGGAATCAGAGCGTTCAGCCTGTTTTTCTTCTAAAAGTTGCTCAGGCCAATTATTCGACTATTAGAATAGTTGGTGACTCATGTAATAGCTGACAATTAATTGACTAATCGTTGCATTTCTACCTGACAAAAGCCAGTTTGTTCCAGTTTCTAAAACTTCTCTGTTTTATATCATTGTCTATTTAGTATTTTTGCATTTTGGACTGTTAATCAGAAAAACTGTTATTTATATCAGACATTTAAAACAATAACTGTTGAGCCAAAGGGTTTTCCAGTAATGAAATAAGATTGGTGTCATGAATTCACCTAACCACCGTACATATTAAGGTTAAAACCCGACAATATCACACCAAATATTTACTAAGCTGACTCAGTTAAATATTAGATTAAACCCTGCAATATTACATGTCATAGAAAGTAGCCTGATTAAAATAAACAATAAGGTTAAGACCCTTCGATGTCATATATCTAATGAAAAATTGACCTGATCAAATAAATATGAAGTTACAATTCTACAATATTATATATATATAACACACATTGACCAGATAAAACTAAATATTAAGGTTAAGAACCTAAAATGTTGTATTAAATACAAATGTATATGACCAAATATATATATATATATATATATATATATGAAAAAATGTATCTGATTAAATTATATATTACAGGTTCAGACCCTACAATATTATATATTATGCAAATTCATCTGACTAACATAAATGCTAAGAACCTACAATATTCTAAAGTAAATACTGACTGGTTAATCAGCTATGGGAATAATAATTAGTCACGGCAGTAGTCAGCAGCATCTGTGACTAAAGGTGAACGATAATCCTGAATTTGCATAACTGACTCTAGATAAACAACTGTTGCAACATGTCATAAACCATAATTAACAATGCTGATTGTCCTCCAAGCTGCAGCACAGGACCCTATTGAACTTTAGTTTGATTAAAACCAGCATGACCAGTTATGGCTCAACAACAGTGACACGATCATGTGCCACGGTTTGTGTCACTCACATGTGTGCGCATGAGCCGAGAGTTTTCCCGGATTACGGGTGACGGAGCTCCACCTGGCAGGTAGAAAAGGTGTCATCAAGCATCACAAACAGGGTTAACTAACATAGCATAATAATAATAATTTTAAAAAAGCCATCACAGTCAGCAGTCACGGTGATAAAAACGACATTAGCAGCTCTCTGGACGTTGTCCCAAAGCTAAAACATTAGCTAGCTGCTGAGCTAACGAGCTACATATATGAATCTGCTCAAGTTGTCGGGAAATGAAACTTAAGACACGAAGAAGAAATCCCAGCAACAGAGGACAGTCCCTCATTTATTCTCACCTTTAACGCCGTCTTTCTTTCTGGGCATGATGTCAACGTGTTTCTCTGAGCCGTCGTCTCACACCTGTGTTTAATGATCTAGGTGGCTTGTTTCCGCGTTTTGGATTTTGGACTGTAGACCTGATTCTTCTTCTCCTCCTCCTTCTCCTCTGTTTGATTCCGCTTCTTCTTCTTCGGTTCTTCTTTTTGATCTGTTTGGGGAAAAAAGGGAATTAGGGCTGTACCGCCACCAACTGGTAAGGAGGGAGGGTCAGACTGTTTTGCATAATAATAATAATAATAATAATAATAATAATAATAATAATAATAATAATAGTATACTTTCCTCTCGGGTCAAATCAGTTTTTTTCTGAGATGCTGAAGCATGATTTGAGAGCGCTCTCTTCTTGAGTTGTCTCGGAAAATATCTATATTTTCCGAAACAACTTTGATCTTTCTTATTTTGTGAAACATTTTGTTTTCTTTCTGCCTCATATCCCTCACAGTGTACTCTCTTAGAATTAGGAGAGTCTCAAGGAAGTTGTCCAGTCAGGGTATTTCACTGTGGCATGCCATTATATTCAATATTACATAGAAAAATACCTAAATAAATACATACATACACTGATACATGCATACATACAGAAATATATTAATTTCATATCAATATTTATTTATTTTATTGGAACGCCATTATTTAGGTTTTTTCATATTTAATACAAATATTTAAAATCATTTCATTAGCTTAAAAAAAGACAAAAGACATTATAGCATGTAGAGATCACTCAGAAAAAATATAAACATACAAAAAATACAGGGATTTGTTAAACATGGCAAAGTCCAAGCTGCAGACAGGAATAAAAGACAAGAGCTGTTTTATTTTTGAGACATGTGGCGATGTAATTCTGCACTTTAGAAGCCAAATCTGAGGAAATAAGGACTTGAAGCTTTCTCGAAGGATTCACAAAATAGAGAAACATACATGTATGAAGTTATATATATTCGATATGTATTTAACTTCGTTCTGTGAGTACTGAACTTGAAGGTTGGACAGGATGGACTTCAGTTTTTAAGCGAGGGAACGACTCTCCCCTCTTCAGTTCAAACCTCTTCTCGCGAGATTTCCACGGGTTTTCGAACATTTCCTAGCAACGGCCCATGGATACGAGGAGGAGGAAGCGCGCTCACAGTGGCGGACTGTCATCAACAACAACAATACCAGCAACATGGACCCTCCAGAGGTAATTTACGTAGTTTTAACTTAATTCCCGACGTTAAATTTGTCTATGGTGTCGTCCTTCGGTACGCTTTAACACAGTTCTCACCGCGGGAAATCTGGGTAAAGTTTGGGCGATGTCAGTAGCTAATTAGCTAACTGCTAACCATTTTTGCTAGATTGTTAGCCGATTCACGTTACTGTCTTTAAACTAAATGTGTCTCTAGAACAAAATATTGATTGTCTATTGTCGATAATGGTGGTAGCACGGATTACTGCAGCAACTTAACTTTAAGTTAGCGTTAGCAATACTCAATGTAGCCATGTGTCTTTCACCAAGCTAACAGTAACCTGTTGCTCATGGTTAGGCTTTGTGCTAAACCTGTCAACGGTTGAGTCTGTGAGTTGTTAATCACTTTGATGACAAAACTAAACAGCTTTGAAGGAATTTGAAGAAACCAAGGAAAGAGGAACAGTGGAAGAGATGATTCCTTCTCCCCAGACAGACAAATACAACAGATTTTGTGTGTAAACATTAGACCAGTATATTAGGACTAAACATTTGATCAAATTCTATGAAAGTCACACTGTTGGTGGTATCCCTTGTGGTAATAACTGTCACGCTTTCCATCTATAACACTATGAATATTGAACCAAAGCTTGGCTTAAAAAATATTTTGCAAGTCCAAATCACAATTGCAATATCTGTCTGGAAAAAAAATGCAAATACAAAATTCAGACCTGCATTACAGGAAATTACAATATGGACAATCTGAATGACAAAAATATATGTATAAATTTCTGTGGCTATAGATAGGCAGATAGATAGATTATGTTGTTAATCCCAAAGACGAATTGCAGTTGTAGTTGCAGTGAGGTCACAATAAACCAGTAGCTAGAAGCAAAACAAAGCTAAATAATAATAAGTAACTAAAACAGAAAAAAAATGAAAGGTGAACATAAAAAGTAGGAACATAGTCTTCAATTCTAGTATATGTTGAATGTATTCTGTACAACAATAACACAGTAAAATTAGAAGTGCAAGTCAAGCAGGTGATGCCAAATGCTAGGGTGCTTCAGCATTAAAATAGGATTAACTGTCAACTGAATATGTCAGCAATTATGTATTAATCTAGAGTTTTAGAAACATGGACATTGATAATATTGTGATTGAATGTAATTAAAACATTTGCAAATCCAGATGAGCACCATGTGTTGTAGTAAACCTGAATCTTCAGTATGATTTTTATGCACTTAAGTACTATGGTTGTGATTTCATGTTTAGAATATCTTGACTAAAAGTTGCAAAAACGTACATTATATCCTGGCTGTAGACAAGACGTCTACAGGCACCACCTTGGATTGGGAAATCAAAACTGGCTAATTGAGACGATATCAGCAGATTATTTTACATTTGAATTAGCTGCAACCCTAAATATTAATAACCAGATTTCTCATGTTAACACCATATCCTAAATATAATCAATACCATTTAAAACTTAAATCCAGGATGCTTATGTTATAATTGGACTTGTTTGTGGAGCAGCTCCCTGTCTCAGCACAGAGGAGGCTCATTATACTAAGTGATGGCAGCTGGCAGGAATCACCTCCTGCAGTGTTCCTTGTCACCACAGCACTGAAGGTGTTTTGCTGTTTGACCGGCAGCTTGCGGAGTGATGTTAGGTATTTTTCAGGATGACAAAGAGTTTATATAGCATGTTCCTCTCCTCTATCAATTCCAGAGGCTGCAGAGATGTCCCCAGCAGTTGCTTTAGGCATCCAGAGAAACTAAATTTCTAATGTTTAAGGCTACACAGCAGAGTTAAATGGCGATGGTAGATAATAACAGTGAGTTGCTTTGGTGACTCTGTCCTCAGAGGGCCGTTGCATCTCCTCAGTTGCCAGCAGATGACGGTGTGAGTCACTCTGTTGGACAAACATCCATAAGCCACCTGGGAGACCAAAGTCAGAGCAGTGAAAACCAGGACCAGAGGCAGCCCAGGATGGAAACGGATGGTCTGGAGCTTCCACAGCCAGGGGGACAGTCTTTGCAGCTAGGTAGGCACATTAGATAAAATAATCAATTTTACTCTGTAATATGCTTTTTTTTTTTTTTGTCATAATGTTGAATAACATAGATGCTGCTGAAAAAAATATACACGTATTTTTTCATCTGGTGCAGGTATGACAAATTTCAAGTTAAAAAATTGTCTTACTTAATCTATGAAAGATGCATTGGAATATTGCACTCCCATTATATTATTATGATAGTGCAAATGACTCATTTAAGGTCTGTAATTTCACATTTTCTGTGCAGCATTTGTCATACTAATTAGGTATGCCGAAATTGGATCGAAGAATAATTGTTCTGTGTCATGATAATGGGAAACTGCAGGCAGCGATAGTTTGCATACATTAGGTTTGGCTGTACTTCCTGCCTTTATTTCATGCGCATAACAGTCAATGTGTTGTGTATCATCAGACTTTCAGGACAGTAACCTGTCTCCAGCCCTTCACCTGCTGCCTGTAAACTCTGGAGTGGAAAACACTGAATATTCTTTATTCCAGCAAAGTGATACAGAATTTGCCCCTTTACGGTAAGAAAAAATCTGTTAATCCTTATTGTTTGTTCTGTGGACTTTAACAGCATGTTGTTTGAAAGGTATAAAATGTATAATTAAATGACTGATGATTATTTATTTGATTTTTCAAGGGCATACCCTGACGTTTCCATGGCATCAGAGAGGTTTCACTTTCCACTTCTGGATCGCACAACTCAGGCCTCTGAGTGTGGCTCGTTGTCCCAGCACCCTCTCTCCCAGGCAACCATCCTTTCTGAAGAAGGAGCAAGCAACAGCTGCTCTCTTTTTCAGCACAGTTTATCACCCAGGGACCAAGACAAACAAGAGGACACCAGTAGCAGAAAGAAGGACCCAGAGGCCCGAACTGACCTTCCAGAAGAACTAGTAGGAGAGGTGGCTGAAGATGAAACTTTCTTTTTGAGTAAGGATGTTCGGGCCCAGCATCTTTTGGACCTCCTGCAGAAAGACGTCGACATGCCAAGCAGCAGTAGCAGCGCTGTTTCCTCTGCGTCTCAGACTTTTATGAAGGAGGAGATGACTGACCAGAGGATGGTTACAAGAGAAGGTCCTCCAGGTGAAGCAGCTTTTCCTCAACAGCAGCCACAACAACCTGACACAGTTTCAAACCCTGATCAATCCCAAGCACCGTTATCTGAGCTCTCTAACATCACTATGGGTTCTCGCAGCACTCAGCCTGATGACAGCAGTGAGGCGTTGCACAGAGAGCTGCTTTCTGAAGTAGAGAGACGCAGCAGCCATGAAGCTGAATCCAAAAACAAACAGCAAAAAACTCCTACACCACCCGCTCAGTTTCATCTCACACCATATCCCAAAGAGATGTCTGAAGGTCAGCCAAGTGCAATTGGAACCAATCACGGGGGTGCACTGTGGACCGTACCATTTTCTGCTGGTGTTGAAAGAGTTTACAGAGAGCAAGATCTCTGGTCCTCAGGAAACCAAACAGGGATTGATGGTTCCTACCTGGGTTTTCTTCCACAGTCTCAATCCACTCCAGGGGTTTTTAAGTCCCCGACCAAATCCAGTGCCAAGCCTAGATTAGGGCAACTTTCAGCCATACAATCTAATACTGAGAACTCTTGCCAGTCAAGCACCGGGATCTCTCCACAGTCAGCTGACGCCCATCAAACAAACACAGCAAATCAAAGCCAAGACGACGCTACTTCTGCCAAAGTCCACTCTCTTCCAAGTCTCAACTACATCGAGAAAGTAGATGCCTGGAGGGCAAACCAGAGCTCAGGCAAGACTTCATTGTTTGATAGTTTGGCACTACAAGGATTTTCTGGCATCTCTCCTAAAAAGAAAGCTTATGATGCAGTATCTGACACGTTGAATCGCATTCTTAGTCAGCAGGTTAGGGGTTTACAACAGCCTCTTGTTTCAGGTGCTGCCAGTCATAATGTCTTTCAGGGCTCCTCTGCAGTTCCCTCCGGCTCTTCTTCTCCAAGAAGAGGGGAGGCAGTGGGCAGCGCTCCCAATGAGAAGGATAACACTGGACCTGCAGCACCGCCTTCTCCCTCACCGTTTGCCCGATCACAGTCCCACTCCTCCCTCAGCACAGTTGTCATGTCTGTTCTCAAAGACCAGCAGACCGACGGGCCTCCAGAGAAAGACAAGAGTCAGAGTCAAGACGATGCTCATCACCATCCAACCACCGCAGTTGAAGCTTCGGCTCTTATGAGCCTCGGTCGCTTCAGTGATGTGTCGCTGGATCGAGATTTGACACTGTCGAGTTCCCAGGATAGTTACAGTGAAGTTAAAGTAGGAACTTCCATTGGAGCGTCCTCGATTGTCAGCCTGGATATTGATAACTACGCCCCCTACTGGACTTCAAAACTGTCGACACCACCACCGAGGCATCGGGAGCTCAACATCGATGAACGAATTCCGGTACGTGAAACACTGAAAACTTTATACAAACAGCATAGGGTCTCTGTCAGATATTATATAAATCTATATATCGTGAACCGTTGTGTAATTGTTACTAGAGATCAAGTTTTAACAAAAAAATACATATAATTTTATTCAGCATGCACCATTTAGTTGGAGAAAAATATCATATATTTTGCAAACTTGATTATCTGATATGCTCTGTGTTTGTTTTGGGTTTTTTTTTGCAGCTTTATCTGCATAATCTGGGTATAGATCAGTCCCCCTCAACAATCTTAACTCCATTTGCACCCAGAGGACCAATCAGAGAGCCTGAATTCTCTCCCACTGATCTCTGTACAACTAAAGGATCTATTGGAACCCCAACCAAGAGCGCTCAACCCTCTGAGGGTAAGTATCCGTGAAACCGACCTCCAAAACGGAAAGTAAAACTTCTTTAAAAGAACAATTTTCAGAAAAGTTTTTAAATTTGCTGTTTTTTTAAAACAAAAAAACAATACAAAGCAAAACTAAATCAACGAAATATCTTGCTTGCAAGGTTTACATGTTCCATATGAGTTTACTGTTCTCCACTTAAACGTTTAATGTGTTATTTTTAGCAGTTTTTGCTAATTGTTGAATACATGTTTATTACCCAGAAATAATGAATGCTGTTTATTTATGCAAATAAGTTTATTTATTTCATATCACAGAGGTTATTCAAAGTCCTCTACGCGCAGAAATAAAATAAAACAGCAAAATTTAGTTAATAAATTAATCGATAATAGTACTGACAAGTTGGATTAAGTGCACACAGATTTATAAAATAATTAAAACTTAAATAGCTAAAAAAGACAAGAGATGAAAAAATAGTAGCATGTCAGCAATAGTGTTAGTAATACAATACAAAAGAAATATATTAAAGTTAAGTGTGTAAAAGCGCAAACAATAAAATAATATTTAAAAATATTGTATTATGTTTTCAGGCAGCAGTCCCCATAAAGGAGAGTATTCCAGGTCCAGCATTCTGTCGGTGGACTCAAGTATCTCCATACCATTCAGCCTGGACAGTCTTGGTCCGACTGTATCTCTCCCAGAGAGGGTCAGACGGACTTCATCAGAAACAGAAGCTAACCAGAGTGAACGCAGACTTGCAGTTTCCTCTGAGCCTGAGGAAGACTCCCATTCCTCCGTACTGCAGCACAGCCAGCAGCAACAGGGCAGTAATTTAACCAGCAGCCAGAAGATCGACCAGCCAGGAGACGTGTTAGACTCTGACGTCTCTTTTGCTGTCAAGTCGAGAAGCGGGGAAAGAAATGTGGAGTTGAAAACAAGTCGTAGTGTTGAACAAAATACGGAAGAATCTTTTGTCAGCTCAAAGGCCTTGTCTGAAATCCGTAAACTGCTCTCTCATGCAGAGAACATGTTTTCTACTGGGTCTTCTGCAGCTTCCTCAGCCTCCCCTACAGCGCCACGTCTTCTCTCAGATCAGGACATATTCCTCTCACTGAGGAAGAAAACCAGCAGACTCCACGACTCCTCAGTCTCCTCCTCCTCTTCAGCTGGAGACCCCAAAACTCATTCCTCAACGCTCTGGGCCAGATCTTCGTCCGACTCCATGCTGATGTCAGAAAAACTGAGGCAAAGCTCTGTCGGTCGAGAGAGTTTGACTTCATCCTGGCAGCCTGATTATCCGTCCACACAAGCTCCTGTTACTGCCGTGGTTGCATACGAAACAACACAAGATAGCACCATTAGTAGTAGTGCAGAGACGTCCCTTGTCCTCTCCAAATCAGCCCGGAGGACAGAACCTGAGGGTTGCAGTGCTGCACCTCCTGACAAAGTCCCACCTCAGCCGGCAGTCAACAAGCCACCACCAGCTTTAGGTGCACAACAGCTCACCTCTACTCCTGCAGATACAGCGGAGGAGGAGGAGGAGGAGGAGGAGGAAGAGGAGGAAGAGGAAAACACAACACCTAGACGTCCTGTACAAAGCAGCTCATCCTCGCCCATCCTTGAGGACGCTGATCAGGAAGTGATGAGTGATGGGAGCAGCGGGAGCTCGCTGGCAGTCAGAGTGGCCAAGTTACTGCAGACTGAATCTCCGGCCACCATGATGTCCAGTACTCCACTCAGTGTCACAGACCAAGAGGAGAGCAAAGCCAGAGGTAAAAGGATTCACATGCTGTCATGTTTTGATCTTTGCAGTCACCACTCATTGAGTGTATAATATGTTGAGACACAACCAAATGTCTAAATAGTGATAATCTGTAGGGTTTAACTGGCTCAGATTGTTATCTCTGCTCTACTGTCTAACCCTCCGAACCCCAAGCAGTTTCATTTCTGTGTAAACACAGCCTGCAGTTCAGCTAAATAGGCTCTGATGTTTTGTCACATGACTGTTGGTCACAGTCAAGTTACAAATGGTTTTTCAGTTGTGCAGAATTATTGGGGTTTTTTTTTTTTGGTATGAATAGATTTTTGGGGGGCTAATTTTGAAATGAGACATGTCAAACAAAGTGATTGTGATGAAATATTCTCACTGTAAGCTCTGATTTTTTTCCTAATGTATCCACAAACATTATTTCAAGGCCTGTCTGAAAATTGAAAATCTGATGATTCTTTTAGTTTTTGCGGTTTCTGACTTGGATAAAAAAAAAAGGTTTTTTCTCGTGTAACATGCCTTTCAAACCTGTTGGCAGATTGTGGGGTTCAGAGGGTTAAAGCAAAATCACGATGGTTCTGTATCTGCCTCTTAAATTTGTATCTACACAAAGTGAGTGTTTTAAAACAAAAGTAATCCTTTACCATAAATATAGCTCTGTGTGCAGCACTCATCCAATAATTGCATGAAAAATGACTGCAGTTATGTTAAGAGAACAGTCAGTTTGTGGTCACAGTGATGACAAACTGTTATACCAAAATGTATTTTCACCAAGATACACTGCTTCTGCCTCTGACCTCATACACAACAGTCCAGATCAGAGCTAACATTTTTGGTTTGCTCACTCATTGTCTCTGTAAGATTTATCAGTACATATTGGTCTCAGGCATTGCTCATCTCTGCATCACATTAAAAATATGTTTTGATGTTGCAGAGTGGATAAAGTTGAAGATATCAGGACAGCAGTGTGAGCCTCTGGAGTTGCACAAAGAAGACAGAATGCGGATTGAAGAGATCAAGAGAGAGCTGCTGTTAAAAAACCCTATAAAGGTAATCCTCTCACGAATACCTCCTTATCGTTACACTTTACATGGCACACAGCTGTGATTATACAAGCTTTTTGTGTAGCAGTTTACTTAAGTTTACTACATTCTAAATTACTGCAAATGAAAGTTCCTCTCGTCATTGATTCGTCCTTTTAAAAACTCATCCCTGTGTATCACATTTTGAAGTTTTTACTAAAATATATATTAACTAGCTTTCTGCCTTAAAGTGCCTCAGATGTAACTGAGATGTTCAAAGCAGAAATCTATTCTGAAGAACAATAATGATGCAGAAAGTCTCAGCCTTGACTGGATGGGTTTTTTAGGTTTGTTATTTATGAAACCATGGTAGTCTCAATCTGTTTTTGAGACTTGTCAACCCACTACAGTTTTAAGTCACAGTGTTTGGTGCTTATTTTGTTCATGACATGTCTTCTAGAATCAAGCACTATATGAGTACGTCAACAAATTAAAAGAACGATTTTCACTGAAATGGGTCTATATGCGAATATTTATTTTGTCACTTATGTCCTTTTTAATATAGTGCCAACCTTTTACAAATGTATATATTTTTCATTTTGACATCTGCTTCCTATCCCTGGACAGCACAGATATCGTGCTCAAGGTAACTGGTGTGTTGCAGGCATGGTGTGTCAAAAGTTAGGTCTTTTGTACAAAACAACTGCTCCCAGTTAGAATTCCAAGTGCAGTTTTGCTGTGCAAAAAAACTCTTCTTTGGATCTTCCTAAATGAACACACGGGTTGTTTCATCTCAAATAATCAGAGACCTTCTACTTTCTGTTTTCCTTGTAACTTTATCATGAATACCTGACATTTTTATATATCAAATACTTTCTGAGATAATTTTTTTTTAACAAAATTGCCCTTTAACCAACCTTCAGCACTTTTTTTGTTAAACACACATTAAAATTTCAGGCTGTGTTTGAAGGACAACGTTTTTAGAAATTGCTAAGGATAAAAGCCTAAAATTTTCACTCCTGTTTCTCATCAGAACTCTGTTCTATTTGAATTAGGGTATCTAGAAATAGTTTTTTTTTCTTTGTTGTACTTGTCATACCTGCTCAATCAGTTGAAAGTTCAACAAAAATAATTTTTAATTTTTGCAGCAATATTTTATATTAAAAAACAAACAAACTTTGTTTTGTATCTCCGAAAGTATTTGATATTTCAAGCTAAAATTTCACAAAAATCTTAAATTTTTGTGAAATTTCTTATTTTTTGTGAATTCTTAAATCTTAAATATCTATATTTTATGCTCTAAAGATTTCAGACAAATTAGACAAGCAGAAATTGTTGTAAAAATGTTATGATTTGAGATGGAATGATCCACAGAATAACAATTTTGACACAGACTTGTTTCTTTTTCCAGAGCCAGACAAGCACTGATACAGAGAGCAGTGCAGCGTCCAGTTTTAAAGTTCCAGATGTGCACGATTCACCTCCGTCTGCAGAGACATTCACTGCCCTCAGTGAAGCCAACAAGCAGCCAAACCAGCCACCGCAAAGCCTCAATATGAATCTTCCTGACTCCAGCATGCAGCTACAAAACTCTCATCGCCCGGATCTGGAGGCTAAAGTCTGTGAGATTGCTGCCAGAGAAGGAGTGACCCTCCCTAATAAAAACCGTCGGGCCCTCACATCCATCACCATCGCCACCTGCAGGCGCTCTACCTCCCCGTCGCCTTCCACTTCCCCTGCACCTCCCCTCAGCCCAACCCCAGAGCCGCTCCACCTGACGGAGCTTCACACATCAGCAACCAACATCCAGCTTCTCCCAAATCTGGCTGCAGAGCTGCAACCTGAGTATGAAGCAAATATGAGTTTGCACATCAGAAACCAAAATGTGACTCCTCAGTCTGCACCAGGGAGCCAGAAGAGGCAGGACACTGTGGGGGGGCAATTTGAAGAATCTCCTTCACCTTCAGAGAGTTTAGATAAAGAGGATTTGACCATCAAACACGACAACACACAGTCGCTCAGGCGAGATCTCAAGTTATCTGTAGTTGGTCATGAAGCAAATCAGGCCACAGCCTCATCTGATGTTAAATCTCCTACCAGGACAAGTCACATCTCACATGTCCATCTCACTTTATCCCCCAAAACTACCCGTCACACTTCTACCCCTGCTGTCCAACCCAGTGCTGCTCCAGGGCTGCCACGTCCAGAATTTGTCCCCCTCAGACACTCCCCGTCTGCTGCCATCAGTCCAGACGAAGGTGTTGGTTTGTCCAGTCCACCTGAGTGGTACGACACCAGAGAGCCAGTGAGACAACGAGTGCCTGAAAGATCCGACACCTCCACCGTGTTTAAATCTGTTGGGCCTCAAGACCGAACGACCTCCACATCCACACAGTCCTTGACAACGCTTGTGAGATCTGACATGTCATCAAGGCCCTTTACCACTAAAGCACCAGGTAGGATTTTTATGAGTGATATTTTAATTCTAACACCATGATTAAAGACTTTTCACATTTGTTTTATAGTTTAGTTTAAGCCGTTTTTCTGCTCTTGTCACATTTACTAACTATACTCTATTTTTTTTCTTCTTTTTTTTTTTTTACTACAATATAAACTGCAGCACCTCTATGGAAACAGCACAACTCTGGCTCAAAAACACGACAACTCAAAATGTTTTCTGTGCAGTAGAACAGTTACAAATGTCTTAGATCTTGCAAAAAGAAAAAAAATGAAAGTTGATTTTTTTTTCTCTCATTATTTGTTTTTATAAAAAGTGAAAAAAAAACTTTTTAGCAAACCTCAGTGTTTTCCTCGGAGTTCCCAAAGGTCTGACCCATACCTGGGGAAAAATTGTGGATCTACATATTACAGATACTTTACGGTTACATTTTAAAGTTTTTTCCATACCCGTCTCCTTTCAGCTCTTTGTAAACACAGCCTGCAGTTCAGCCAAATAGCCCTTGATTTTTTTTCACTGATTGCAGATGGCTCAGTAATGACTTCTTAGCTGCGCCTAGGAGAGTAGAATTTTTTTCTTTTTTTTCTACAGGTTTATTTTTGATGATTTTTTAAAGGAGTTATGTAGAAAAAAAGTGAAATACCACAATTTTAAGCTTGTATTTGGTTAATTTTTGAGATGGAATCGCACTTCACCCATGCTTACTTCAGTGACAGCCAGCAAAGTAATATTCTGATGTTTATTTCTATTTTGTATGTATTTTTAAAAATCTTTTTAAAGATAACATACCCTTTAAACCCGCAGACAAGTTTAGGGGTTCAAACGGTTAAACTAAAAATGAAGCAAAGCCTTCACTTGACTGTTTCTCGCATGACAAACGAGGGCAGAGGTCTAAACTGGCGGAGGGTTGCAATTTTAATGGGCAGGTTCATTTGTGCATTTTTGTTATTTATTTAATGATACTATTAGACAATTACAGCACAGTGATGAAAGTTGTAGCAGTGCGGACACAATTAAAACTTAGAAATTGTTCTCCTCCCAATCATCTTTTTCTAATGATGTGTTCTCAGCAAAATGATAACATCGTTTAATTCTAAATGTATTTGTCAGTGAAAGAGGACTTCATGCGCCTTGCTCTCCCTCCTACTTCAGTGCCGGTCCTGCTGCCTTATAAACCTCGTGGCAGTGAGGAGCTCTTCTATGTCCCTCAGACAGAAGCTGATGTCTCATCTACAGAAACCTCTGACACCACCATGGAGAGCTCCCACACAGGTACATCTGTCTTTTTATTTTGAAGCATTATTAACTGGTGAGCTGGAGAGTCATGGAAGAAGTTAAAATCCCAGATTTGATTCCAGCGGTGGACGCTTGTTGCATTTTTCTCACCTTCCTTTGCACAAACATGGTGTTAAATCTTGATGTTGAATGATGGTTGAACGTCTCAAAAGTCTTGCATCTTATTTTGGTCATTTTTTTTATTTTTCTTTTTAAAACAACATTTTCATGTAAAACAACAGCACATCACATAGAACATCATATGTAACTGAGAAATTTAGGGGAAAAAAAGAAAAAGCTGAAACAAGACTAACGTTTAAATAAGCGTTTAGGTCTTATATTATATTAGATTTCTCTCTCTCTCTCTCTCTCTCTATATATATATATATATATAGATAGATATAGATATATATATTGTAGCATAGTAAAACATTAGAGATTTACACAGAGGCAGATTCATTCTGGTTCAGAGGAATCTTTTTCATATAAACAATAAAAGCCTGCTGTATTTTGTAAGTTGTTACTCTTATTTCTCAAAAATTATGTAGTTGTAAGGAATTCATTTCTATGCAAGATCTTCTCATTTCCATTTTAATGTTGCAATTTTTAGGCAATAAGTATTAAAATTTACATAGCAGATCTTGCATGTTAATATTTTTTTTAGATTTTAGAATTTTGTCTGGCATCTCCAGGTGACTACACATGACAGTAAACAGAAATCTATGCAGTTGGCAGGTATTTGTGACCATCTGATTAACAAAAATGTCTGTTATGCTCAACGAAATGAAACTTTAGGGTTGTTTTTTTTTGTTTGTTTGTTTGTTTTCTTTTTTCAAAAAACCTCCCTGGATGGAAACCAAAACCCTGATCACTGACAAGTATTGAAAATGCTCGAATGTCCGTGAAAGAATTCTGTTAAAATTCTCTGTGAGAATAACTGTGGACATCTTTGGCATTTTTAAGACTGCCAGGCTCACATTATAATTTTTATTTTTATTTTTTTTTAAATCCGCTAAATTATAATTAAGGAAGTCAGAGAGTCCAGAGAATGAAATTGTCAGTTGAGTCTGTAATGAATGTCGAGGCTCTGCTCTCATGTCGCCTGCTTCTGTTTGGGTAGCAGCTGGTCCTTTGTAACATACACCAGGCAGCGCATTAATTATTCATGTTCAGGGGCTGAGTGAGACAAAGGCAGAGGGGGGCCAACAGAGAGACGGAGGGAGGAGGGACTCGATGAACATCTTCTGTTCATTGCTGACCAGAAATATTTTGGCCACTGTTCCGGCAGCGCTATTTTTCTGCTATTCCAGACATGTGGAAAGTCTTGTTTTGAATCTGAATGCCATCCCTCATGAGGTAACAAAACACTGTTCAATCCCCACCAGGCTCAGACGACGCCGTGCCTCCTCGCTTCAGCAGCGAGGTCCTCGGACACCAGGACCCGGGTTTGGATCGCGGAGTCACCATCAGACACTCGGAGGGAATCTACAGCAAGAGGCTGAAAACTACTGCCGTTAAAATGCAAGAACCTGCACACACAGGTGAGAGGAGCAAACACACCACCTCCCTCAGCTCTGACTTGAAATGTGAGACATTTAGGTCTATTCTGTTAAATGCTTTCATGAAACAAGCATCACCTGTCTAAAATCATAGAAGTCTAATTGATTAATGTGAATATACAGCAAGAGGAAAAAACAGAGTTGAGAAGACTGTTTCTAAAAGTGTTCAAATAAAATGTTTTGTATTAGTTGTATCCAGAAAAACACAATTTTGTAAAAAGGTAACAACAATAATGATAAATATGTTTTCTGTATGTCAAAAGATAAAATTCTTAAGGATTAAACAATGTTGTTGGCAGATGCTTGTAAGTCTTTCATTAGAAAAGTCTGCATGTAGATTAAAAGAAAACTGGATATAAAAGTGCATCAATGAGGAGAAATAAATAGTTGTTGTATTAAGTAGATTTTTCAAATATATTTTGATTAACTATTGTGGATTTTTTTAAAACAACATTTTAACAAGATTTGCATTTCTCAGTACACAGTAGCTACATTTCTCACATCAACAAAATAAAAGACCGACAATCTTTTACTAAAACAGAAAACAACACAAGTGGACTAAACTAATCAAAACAATGACTCAGTTTCCATGTCTTCTGTGGTTTAATTACCACCCCTGTACATATCTTGTCGTATACCAAATAAAGCATGAAAATTAAATCCCTAATACCTCTGATAACCGGTGTTCTTTTTTTAAAACCAGCTCTTTTAAATTTCGCTACAGTCCCGCATGTGTTCCTTTGGCTTGTATTCCTTTTGTAAGGAACATTATACATCAACCATCCCTAAAAAATAATCTGTAATATTTACAGCAAATAACAAAACTACTAAATAACTAAGCAAACTAAGTGTTTACCCACTTTAACTTATTTAAATCAATAGTTATTTGCCTGTAATTATTATGGAATTTTAAATGTTTAATTCTGGATTGTTGATATATGAAAAGACTGTTTTGTGTCTGATAAGCAACTCCCTTTTGTATCATTGTTTTAGCTCGTTGTTAAACTCCTACACTGTGCATTTGTTGAGTCTTTTTTGTTTCTCAGAATCGCCTTTAATAACAAAGTATATACAAGGAATTGGACTCTTTCTTTGCTCTCAAAGTAGTTTAAAAAAAGATTAAACATACATGCATTTTAACAAGGGAAGCAAGTTACAGAAGGAAAATGAACATTAAACTACAATGTACGACTACAGATATGTGTGACAGAGTGTGTTTAAAGTGAACCAGAGTGCAAAAATACGGTTACTAATAATAAACACAGAGTTATTGATACCTAATATACATGACGTAGGTGGATGATCAGGAACAGAGCAGTGTTGTTGGGATTAGAAATAACCGTGTATGTTTTATGATACAGTACGTACAGTGGTTCAGAGTTGGGATGTAACTGTTTCTGTGTCTGATTTTCTGAGTGTTTCCACTGTACAGCAACAGACAATAAATACACACACAGTTTCTATGATCCATGTTCGTTATTAAATCCTGTCATGTCTCTCTCCTAACAGATCCCTCTGTCGCTACAGATAGAAGTTCATCACCAAGCGTGAACCAAACTCCAAATGCCTCCTCTCAGGTGTCAGCTGCCTTTAACCGAGTGCCTTCATCGAGCAGCCAAGAAGCCTTCAGGAGAGACCAGGGGACGAGTCCGATCCAGTTCCTCCACTATGATCAACCACAGCCCGGCTGGGACAGACTTCAGCCAGTTCATGTGGAAAGAAACTACGACAAGGTTAGCAGTCAGGTGGTCCAGACTTCTATATCTCAGACCAGAGGGGAGCGAGACCACCAGAGGAGGAACTCCGACCTCCATCGATCCACCTCCCAGCAGACCAGCAGCTCTCTGGACCAGCTGTGGCAGAAGTTCTGTGAGCAGTGGACCACGGAGGAGTCACGTCCAACCAGAGAATCGGAGACTTCGCTGCTGGAGCGTCTGGAGCGTCTGTCTCGCCTTATTCATAGCACAAGAGCTGCTAATGTTTCTGCAGTACAGCAGGAGGAAGACCATGATTCAGAACAAAAGCTAGGAAGGAGGAGGGAGGAAGTGACATTGAAGCAGAAGGAAAGAAAGAAGGAGAGGAGTGGTGAGGTCAGAAGAGGTAGAAAAGCTGAACCTCACATCCAGCTGAGGCTTCAGAAAGAAGAAACCTCACATCCTGCAGAGGACAACAGCCGAGCCTCCTTCTCCTCCAGCTCCTGCCTCAGCCAGCACCTCTCCCCTGCAGAATCGGAGACCCCGTCCACAGCATCCGGCTCCATGTCCTCTGTGGACACAGCCCGGCTGATCCGAGTGTTCGGCGCCGACAGAGTCCAGCACCTGAAAAACAGCTCCAGCCTCAGCAAACTGTACAGGACGATCGACAAGCAGAGAGACGGGAGGGAACAGAGGAGAGGAAGGAATTCAGCCCATCATCACATCATCACACCATCAGAGACCACCGGCACCGATGAATCCGTATGTACATCTGCATGTTACTGTCTTGATCTGTGTACTGAAGTGGAGATTAATGGCATTTGGCTGAAAACAGTCATTTATCTACATGTAAGCTTCACGAGAGAAATGTTTTTTACATAATCGATAAAAAGCTGCTATACTTGGTAAAAGATTTTACTCTTGTTTCTCAACCAATGTGCAGTTGTGAGGAATTAATTAAAACACAAGACCTTCTAGCTTCCATTTTAATGTTTGTATAAAGTTTTTAGGCAATAAGTACAAACACTTCCATAACAAATCTTGCAAAATAATATAGATTTTTTTTTACATTTTAGGATATTATCTGACAACAGTAAGTACCAGAAAGTTGTACCAAACTTGGCTTTAGGGTTTAATATTATTTACACCTGAAATTTACCATAGTGCCAACGTTATTAACCCTTAGTGACCAAGAATAAACACATCCGAATGTAGGAAGAGCTTGTGAAGTTAGCGGTCTTTCTTGACTGACAAGATGGATGAAAGATATCTGAGTTTAAATTATACCAACTTTAAGCTGTTTAGTTTCACCAAAAAGAAACGTGACGCTCATAGAAAAGTCTTAGCATGTAATGAGTTCTGCCCAATGATTGGCTTTTACTTATTTACTGTATTTACCAACTTTATTTATTATCTAATATCTCTGGTTTTGTATGTTTTATGAAGTGGAGTTTTTAGTTCTGTGATTGTTTTTTGTGTTCTGGTCTCATCACAACGGGTGCAAATTAGCTGCTAGCTAAGTATGATGCCCTGTCTATGAAAAAACGAAACATTAAAATAAGTAAATAAAATTGTAGTAATATCAGCTGCTAATAAATCACAGTGTAAACTTTTGTTTTAACACCTAAACTGTTAATTAAACGTATTAAACTCTGGTTTCTCTGCTGACTTTATCTTCAGGTTGCTGCTGATTCTACGTCATCAACCAGCACTTACACCGTCCCGTCACACCGCGGCCCGTCCAGGACTCTGGCGGCTAAGAAGGCTGTTAAACTGGTCAACAAAGGCGTCCAGGCAGGTCAGTGGAGCAAAACCGCTCACTCACACTAATGAGCATTTGTTGAAGATGTGATGTGTGAGAATTTTCTGGTTTTAGGTTGTTTTTGGTAAAGTTTTATGGCACCAATCGCTTATACTGTAACATCTTTCCTACACTGTCTACAGTTTTGAAAACATTCACTTTATGTAAAAATGTCACCTTTCTTGGCCTTTTTTGGTTCATTTGTGGTCTACGTTTGGGTCATTTTGGAACAAGCATTGCTGAGGTTCATTTTGTTATGAGTGTTACTGTCAGCTTCACTCAGGTTTTGCTTGTAGAACAGACTCGACACCATAACGTTTTACTTGTAGTAATCAAAATTTACCACAGTTTCAGATTAGCTGTTCTGTTCTGGAATATTACAGAAAAAAAGGTAAATCATTTTATGTCTTTATAAGGAAGCAATATGCATGAATTTACCAACAGTGTTTCCCTAATAAACACATTCCTATACAACTAAGCTGCATTCTTAAATTATGGTTTGAAGGAAAGTTATTTCCGTTTTGAAACAAACTGATTTTCTTACCAGAAGGTACGACACTGACGTATTTAAACAGCTTCAGATAAAAAAGTTTTAAAGAGCCACAGAGTCCATGTAAGGAGGAAGGAGGGAAGGATGGAGGCAGAAGTCAGTATTGGAGCTTGTGTTCTATCTGGAACCATCATTCTTCAACTTAAATGAGTTTTTACTTGTTTACTGTTGGTTTTCACTCGCTGTCAGTATCAGTTTGGGTTACCAGGGTGACAAGTTAGTAAATAACAAAGCTGTGGTGACTAGAAATGCAGTTCTGACACGTTACTTTTAAGGAATGTAAATTTTGTGAGACAGGTCTGAAATCAGCAAAGAGATTTTAACACCATCAACGCCCCTGTGATGGACTTATAATAGAATATTATTCAGTGTGAAGTTGCAGTGAATATATGTTGAAAGATTGTTGTCTTTTCCTCAGGTGACCTGGAGATTGTTAGTAACGGGACTCGACGACACACCAGAGATGTTGGAACCACGTTCCCTTCACCAGGTGATACCAGAGCTTTCAGTCAGATCACATCTTCTTCATCCAGCGTAGGAAGAGGAGGACGAGGAGGAGGGCAGAGGAGCCCCTCTAAGACTCAAAGCACCCCAAAACAGAGAAAGACCAAGAGGAGTCCATCAAAGCCTTACCCTGCAGGTAGAACTAGTAAACTGAAATAGTATCTTTCATTGTTTAAAGCTTACAAAGTTATGCTAAGTTCCATTCACATTTTATTTACAGTCAAGGTAACCAAACCCTGTATTTATGTTGTTGGTGTGATTTTCTCCTGCAGCTGTTTCGTGGTTCATCTCTGCTGACAGCCTGAAGTCAGAGTCCAGGAAGGAGAACCAGCCGGCGGAGGAGCAGTCATGGAGGCCGAGCACCGCCTGGTTCGAACCGTACAGCAGAATCCATCCCTGGAGGGAGCCGCTCAGACAGAGACAAGTCCACGATGACAGAAGCAAACAACAAAGTTACGTTCATCATGCTGAACCCGAACCAGATCCTAGAACCAAATCTGGACTGGCACGTGTCTCTCTCCAGGTTTGGTCATATTTTTCTTTAAAACAAAACAAAAAAGCAAAAAAAGAAAGATTCTAGGCATCCCTTGGTCTTTTTTTAGACTTCTAAGGTGAACATTTTGGGTGTCAACGTGACTTAAATTAGTAATTTTTACCATCATGGGACCTGTCAACATTATACCAGTGAATGTTTCGTTTTTCATATTTGAACTTTAACATTCCACTCGTGTCCTGCAGGAGGCTCTGGAGATGCGTCGTCCAGAGTTCATCTCTCGGTCCAGGCAGCGGGTGAAGCGTTTGGCTCTGCAGGTGCAGGAGAGGAAGCTTCAGGACGTCTTCAGCAGAGAGAGAGACCAACTGTTGGACTATCCAGGAGGACCAGGGAGGCTGCCGAGGCCTGCAGGTACCGAACACAGCGTCTGCAGATTGAAGTCATGAACAGCTGGATGCTGCTCACAGAATCATCTGTTCTCTCAGTCATGTTTCCCTCATACAGCTGCTGATTGTAAAATCCTCTCCTTTGTCTTAGCTGGAGGTGAGTGATGTTATTTTTTTTTAATTTTCTGTTCTCTGTGAAGGAACTGCTCTGCTCAGGAGGGCCGTTCCCAGGAAGGAGATGATCCAGAGATCCAAACTGTGAGTTTTAATATCATTTTTTTGTTTTGCTCTTTAGATTTTTTTTCAAAGGATAAAGGGAGCTACTGATTATTTTAACATGACATCACATCAGAACACGTAACGGTTTATTGATAGAATAATTTAGTGCTTTATGAAGGCGTCATTTCATCTCAAGTCGTCACATTTTTACAACAATTTCTGCTCAACAATCTCTGATTTGCCAGATATAAATATGGATATTTATAAAGATACTGGTGAAATTTTAGCTTGATATATCAAATACTTTCCAACAAATTTTGATTACCCTTTGACCAGCTATTTGAGGCTATGTTTGATCAACAATATCTCAGCAACTTTTAAAGATAAAAGCCTGAAATAATCACTGTTGTCTCCTCTTCTCGGCAATATGAAAACAAATAGAAGCAGTCATGAAAAGCCCCACCTTTGAGCACAAATTAAAAAAAAATTGATAATGCAGACGTCAACCAGTGATATTTTCTGAACCACATGGAGCTGCATGTCACAAAAATACTAAACTAAGCTTATAGAGTACTTTCAATATGAAATACTTGGTTGAAAAAAAGTTTTTTTTCTTTAACCTCCTTAACTGACCTAGCAGGTTTGACAATTTGGTAGCACAAAAACAAAACTATTGCAGTAGTATTTGCATATCTGTGCCTCAGGAGTACTTGTTTTGTGTTACACTGCTGTCAGATTTGAGATTTGCTTCCTTTTTTGTGTTTTATGACAACAATAAGTTTCACTGCGTCTTCTTCAGGATATATGAGAATCTGCCAGAGGTCCAAATGAGGAGAGAGGAGGAAAGAAGGAGAGCAGAGTATCGATCTTATCGACTGAACGCGCAACTGTACAACAAGGTAGGACAAAAACAAAAGCTTCTCTCCTTCGCACGCGTCTGACAGACTGTAGATTGGGATAGCTTCATACCAAAGCTCGTAGACATTCTTATACAGCTACAGTAAAAACATTTTCTCTCTGTTGGTTGATCCAGCAGGTCAAAGACAAACTGACACATCGTTTTGTGTCTTTCAGAGAATCACAAACCGTGTCCTGGGCAGAAGACCAGCATGGCAGTGATCAAACAGAACGATGACCCGTTTTACTGTAGATAAAAATCTGTGAATCTTTTTTTACGATTTTAATACAAAACTACCTATTTTAAACATAATGCTGAGAAGTAGAATTCTACTGACATTTTTTACTTGTCTGGATGACTTGAAAATGTGTTTTAATGTCAAAATAAACAAAACTTCTGCAGATTTATGCGTTTGAAAGATATTTTGCTTAAAGACAGTCGACAAAGAAACACTGGCTTTAAAGTCTTTATTGATCAGTTATTGGTTGTGCAAGAGCAGGAAGCCACACGAGGAAAATGTAAGACGAGTTAGACAAGCTGCATATTCAGTACATGAGCTGTTCACTGAGAGCACAGATAAATAACATTACAAATAAATAAGAAATGTCTGCATTTTCCCTCTTAAACTACAGTGATGTCGATGCACTATGCCCATTAAATTAAATTAAATTAAATTAAATTAAACTTCAAGTTATGACAGTGCTGTGTAAACGTATAGACTAAAGTAATTACTAAATAAACCAGGTAGCATGGATTAATCAACTAAAAGCCTTCAAAACCAGCCATGGCAAGTGTGGTGAAGAGAAACAAAGGTTCTTTGGCAAAGATGTAGTTTTGCTTTAAACAAATCAAAAATAAGGCAGGTGACTGATCTTTACCACGAGGTTCTCAGCAGGTTTAAGGCTCAGAGTTTAAACCTACAGCAACAACTTCAACCATGAGTGTAATAAATACTAAATAACTTAAACAACATAATGCTTCATCTGACTAAAGTGCAGTCAGGCTGTTTCAATAAACACAAATCTGCAAAGATCCACGTTTTACACAGTAAATCCATTAAGTTAATCAGCTTTTCTTGTTCTGTGCAGCCCACAAAGGTTAAATGAAATAAATACTAAACCCTCAGTTTGTTTGCATCTAACTTTACTGCTGCAGTGTTTGTAAACTGTCACCGCAGCAATCGAGTTAAATCCAAGTGAGGATAATGTGCAAAAAGTCTCTGATCAAACCACAGTAAAACGCCCACTGCTTTAAAATGGACATTCTCATTTAAAACTACTAATACTCCTCCTTTCCCTTTAGACAGTTATAAAAATGGAGCACACCACAGTGATACCTGATAAAAATGTACAACACGGAGTCGTGACTCTTCACATCCTGCTCAGCATTTAACAGTTTGACAGAGAAACGTGAAGCAACAACGTTTTGGCCTGATACGAAACAACCACACTGTGCAGCTCCACACCAGGGCCGGGCGATAAATACTCAACAGAGTCAGGAGAAAGGACTGTGGTGAGTCTGGGCAGCATGCAGCAGCAAGTGTCTGTAACTGGTTCTGGCCATAAAACTAAAAATTTAGACACTTAAATTACAAGGAGAACTCCTTCATCCAGGCTATGAGTTACCGTCTGCAGGACTTCAGGCAAAACAAATCTCGTCTGTAACCAAAACTAAATGCCTTAGAGTTACAGTTTTAGTAGTTGCTGTTTTCAGTGGTACGCTAAGTAAGTCTGCTGCTTCACAATAATAATTAATAACCAGCAGCATGTGGTCAACGTTTCCATTTATAATTAGTCTGATAACATCATCTGACCGTCAGTCGAAAAGCAGAGAGAATGATTGGCAGTCTCGATCAAAATAGTTGAAAATAAATTCCCTTTCAGTTAATTTACAGACTTAATTTCAGTGTTAGCGAAATGACGCAGAGTCAAAACGGGCACAAGAAAAGTGCTTCAAATCCAAAGACTGTTGAGTGACTTAACTGTCATTTCAAAGATGGAGGTAACTTCCTGCAGGGTGCGATCCTGACGTAGCTGGACTGGTCTGGCCCTGGAGTGGAGGCGAAGCTGACGATGGGGGTGTGTTAGTGTCGGTGCAGCAGGCAGGAAATCTCAGGACAGGTGAAGTTTAGGTTCGCAGCAGACTGTGGACTCGCTGCAGCTCGGACTGCGACAGGACGAGGCGATGGACCTGCTCCTGACCGCGAGCACACGGCACCATGACCCGACCCACCAGAACGGTGTCGCCCTGCTTCTCCTCCTTCGCCTGAACACAGAAATGTGAAGTATTAGATCAGCTCAGTAGCAATTTTAGTGTGGTAAGTCCCTTTACAGAGCCTTTAAGAGCTAAAACGATTATTTTTAAAGCGGATATTTCTCAGAAGAAAAAGAATTTAATCAAATCTGATGCACAAAAAGTTGTACAGAACCAAAGTTTGTATTAAATTGAAATTTGAGGTGCAGGTTTAATTTTATTTTAGGCCAAAACATGTAAAGAAATCTAAAGTTTGCTGAATGTTTTGTCGAGAAAAACCTGGATTCAGTCGTTGGTTTCTTCATCAGTGACATGACGTTCATTAGCACTGTTTAGCTAATGTGTGCAGTGTGTGTACAGGATGGTGGAGCTTTAACACCAACTCCATCAGAAGGTTTAAAATCGCTGACAAGTGTTTACTGAGCATCTGTAGCGGCGTCTCACCTTCACAAACGAGGTTGAAGGAAACGTGGCGAAATCGGACGTCACTCGAGCTCCAGGCTGCTGGTTGACAACGTGCTCCGCTACCTCGTCCTGACGGAGGGAGATGGAGGTGAGTACTTCAGGGGAGGCTTTTAAATTAGTTTGTGTAGATTATTCGTGTGTGTGTTTTCGTACCTTCAGTCTGTCCAGAGTGTCGTTCAGAGACTGAAGCCTGGCTGTCTGTTCCAGGAGCTGAGCACCAGGTGTCACTGCAGGACAGAAAATATTCAAAAAGATGTTTTAATTGTAGTTCTGGCTGCTACTGAAAAGGACAGTTTGGTTTCCTTGAAGTGTGATTGTATGAGCAGATGCCTCAAATTCAAATCCAGCTATAAATAAATACATAACAGTTTTAAGTGTTCACCATATCTAGATTAGATTTCTATGCTTCACCTCACCAACAAATCACAAAAACCCTCAATCAACACCTTTTTTTTTACTGACGAAGCCAAACTAAAACAGAAATGTTTCTGCAGTCGCTCCCTGGGTTTTAACACACAACTACCTGGAGACTTCCCGGTGATGTCCACCACCTTGACGTTGGCGCTCATCTGCAGCAGAGTCTCCAGCAGCTGGTCGGTCTTGCGGTAGAGGGCGCTGGAGAGCACTTCAGGTCGTCCTCCGTCTCTGGAGGGAAGTTTGGTCACGTGTAGAGGAGGCAGCGAGGCGAGCTGAACGCGCATCTTCTCCGCCTGTCAAGGGGTAAAAAACATTACGGTAAATATTTAAAACACACAACGGCAACAAAATGCATCAGTTTCATGTAACTATGATCAGCAGTGACTGGTGGCGCTCAGGTTGGAGAACAATTTGAAAACTATACATGACTCATGAGATACAACAATCAAGAATAACAATGTTTGTTTTCTGTGTACAAAATTTCTACGTCTGAATTTAGATGTAATGATCATGATCATTTTGTCAGTATATCCCAAGATTATGTCCTGATCAAGATGTCATTGGCTCAGTTTAAACACATCAGCTAATTAAAACTACAGGATTTAACTGAGCATCATTTAAAAGAAATGTGTTCTTTAACTAGAATTCTTGTCCCGTGTCAGGAGTCTGCTGCCACCTTGGTGTCTGGTGCTGTTTTCTCACCTTCAGCCGGTTGTTCTCGTTCTTCAGGTGTTTGATGCAAAGTCTCTGAGCTTCGATCTGCTGAGTCAGCAGAGGGGAGTCGATCACCTGGACGCCCGAACCTGAACCCACTCCTGACATCATGTTTGCTGTGAACGAGAACAGGTACGACCTCATCAACGCCTGGCTGCACGTTTACATTCACCTTGTACCGTTTCCTGTCAATTAAGTCCAAACACTTATTTACATCTACGTACTTCCTCAGCATGCAGTCTTTTGTGCAGCGGTGTGAGTACATTAACTCAAGACTTGTATCATGTACAGTTCTGAGGTATTTGTACATTATGTAGTATTAGTATAGTAGTATAGTATAACCCTAACTGATTCCTTGTTACAGTTAAAGCTCAATCACAGTATTTAAATAGTGAAAATTAACTCCAACGTAACCAGATACAACACAACACTGAGTAGTTCCTCTTTAGATATTTTGATGCTTCTCTACTTCAGTTGGAGCATTTTTACAGTCTGGCATTGTGTGAATAAACCCACATTCTTCAGTTTCCATCTCTACAGCGGATGTGTTTTGTCAGAAAGAAAGAAAAGTGTTTAACTGAACAGCTTGATGTCTTTTTATAAGTAGAGCTGCTCAATTTTAAAACCGTGCAAAGAGGAGACGATGTGCATGCCACAAAACATGCAAATTAACGAGATGAAAGCACCATTTTCAGATATTATATTCATAAAACCTTAAATGCACTGAAATAGCAGGATTTCTGCAGGTTAAATTTAAAACTTTTAGACATTAATACAACAGAAATTTGGCCAAAAATATAAAACATATGATAGAAAACCAGTGTAGCAGCATTTTTAAAATACTTCCCACCAATACATAAAAATAATTGCAAATAATATGATTACATTCACACAACTTGGACATAAGTAGCAGAAACACTGATTATTGATTAACCACTTAGAAATGAGTAATTTAAATAATGGCAATGAAACTTCACAATAAAAGACTGAAAACATAAAGACTGAACTTCCAACTAACATTGAGAAACTTAAGAACTTCTGTAAATTCAATGTTTTTTGAGGAAAGTGAATTTAATTTCTTTTTTAAAGACCTGCAGACATCCTGAATAAAACATGTGTGTCACACATTGAACTGCTTTCAAACCATGCACAATCAGAAATGTCATTTTTAAAAAGTAAACCTCTTATTTTGAAAGAAAAATCAGCATGCAGGATCACAGCAGATGTGAACACAAGCCAGTAGATACCTTTTTGTTCCTCTGCAGAGTAAGTAGGTAAATTAGGAGAGATTAAAAGAAGACGTTATACAGAGTGAAAGGAGGCTTTTGTTGTTAAATAGAGGAATGAAACACAAGAGTTGGATTTTAGTCTGATTAAATGCCAGGTAGGTGAGTTTAGGTGTAATCTGTAGAAACTGATCGATGTTACAGCTTATTAACGGTGTGGTTTTGGTGTGTTCATGATAATTTGGTTTTCTCTCCACTCACCTGCCGTCATTCCCGTGACGATGGAAGCGATTCCAGACGGTCCGGTTCCTCTCAGCCCGTCGATGGTCATCTTGGACTGGCTGTTGATTCGCTGCTTCAGCTCAGCCTTCTCCGACTCCAGCTGGTCGATGTCGGCCTGCAGGGCGTCCATCGTCTCCTCAAACTCCCTGCAGACGACAACAGAGTCACACAGCTGTAGGTCTCGTACACTACAAGGTTTCACTTCAGATTCTGCAGCCTTGAAGTCCCTCTCACTTCTCTTTCTTCTTCAGCAGAGTCTGAGCTTCGTCCAGGCGAGTCTGGATCTTCTCAACACGTTCGTCTGCATCTTTGGACGAACTGTCCAGCTTCTTCTCCAGCAGACTGAGCCGGACGTTGGCCTCGCTCAGCTCCTCTCCCTGGAAACACACAGTAACACAGGTGAACACAAGCTGTGCTTCTTTTGATTTAAAAGAATGTGATCGATACTTTAGAGCAGCTAAGTCTGAATAATTTAGTCTAAAGACATATTTATTGAGATGGATTTAGTTTGAACAGCTGTGAACACTCATTTATGCAGGTTTCTTTGAAAAATTATTCAGAAAACTTAAAACACAGAGCAACGTCAACTAGAGCTGCAACAATAAATTGATTCTTTAACTATTAAATTAATTTTCTGATTATTTGATAAACGATTAATTAGGTTGAGTCATATTTTATGTTTTTTTAAACAGGCTACATTCTCTTAAATCTGGTTTCCTTCCTCCTCTATGACATAAAATTATAAATATCTGTGGGTTTTAAACAAAACAAGACATTTGATGACGTCTTCTTGGACTTTGAGAAACACTCCTTGACATTTTTTTGACCATTTTCTGCCATTTTAAAACCAAATAACTGAATTAATTGCATCCATAAACTAAGTTTTGTATTCGTGTGTATCACAGCTTGTCTGCCAACATTTCATTTGACCTGACACACATAAATCTAACCTTCCTTTGATTCTGGATTAACACATCCTGACAAATCCTCTGCACCTTTGTGTTTCTATTTTCTAGTGAATTAGCTTCATGTTTCAGCAGCGTTGTATGTTTTTTTCTACCTTGATCTTGAGCGACTTCTTCAGCTCCTTGATGACCGTCTCTCTGTCCTCCAGCTTCATGCCGAGACCTTCTGCATCCGTGATTTCTGCTCGCAGAGCCGCCGATCGAACATCCACCGGCGGAGGATTCTGGGGGATTAAAATCAGTGCAACATTAAAATCAGGATGTGTTCGACAAACCTGTAGCAGCTGAACTGTACCGGTGAGATCTTGGAGTTACCTTGTTCTGAGGCTTCTCTGAGTCGTACTCTCCCTCCTGCATGGCCGTCGCCATCTTGTTCATGGTTGCTATGACGATGCTGCAGGACTGTCGCAGACATTCGTAGGGGTTGGCACCCTGAGAGCCGTAGATCTGGAAATTATAGTGTGATTGTTAGTTTGAAACACTTTGTTGGTTCCTCGGGGGTTAATCTGAGGCAGTGAGTCTGCAAACAAACAACACAACACCTGACCTGCTCACAACACAACCCAAAAATACAACTTTGGAAAGAGTTAAAGTGCACAACAAAGACATAAAATATACTACTTTATCAATTTCTTGCATTGTCCTCCTCCCTTCAGCAGTTGCATAAATAATTTTTCACTTCATATTGGGTTTTACCTTTGAGTTTATTTAAATTATTGGTGTATAAAAGTTCCACTATTCCCTAATAAAAGATGACTTTTATCCAGACTGTCTTCAGTGTCTCATCTCATGATGACATTATTCAGAAAATACTAATAAATAAAACATTTTTCTTAAGTCCCAGCTCTTGCAGATATTTTCTGATCCGTTCTTCATTTCGCAGAATTTAATTCAAGAAAGCAAATCTTCTGTTAGGAGTAAAACTTTACAATGACATTTTCAAGACTTGGATCTTAATGTCAGATTTAATTCCACATTTCTCTTGACTCTCACACAAAACAGTCACTGTCAAAAGTTATTACGTTCTCTGAGCTGCACAACCTTTTTCAGAACTCAACTGTTTTATGATAAATAAAAAAACCCTGTGAAAATCAAACTGTCCAGCTGTGGGTCTATTTTCTGTTGGTCAGTTTGTAAAAACACAAACCTGCTCTCCAGCCTTGAACGCCACGTCCTCCAGTTTGACGGCCGATAGTCCTTCTTGTTCTCCAAGAGGCGACATCATCTGAGCGCCGGCTGCTGCCACTTCCTGCAGCACCGCCACCACCCAGGTCAGGTGCTTCCTGCAGTCTGACAGCGTGTCGCACACCTGTGGAGGAGAAGGTGGAACGCCAGTGTGGTTATTAAAGGAAAACACACCAAAAAAGTCAGAAAATTCTCTGCTCTGCATTAACAAAGTGCAAAAAACCTGCTGTCCGAAGTTGAGCGCCGCAGGGATTCCCGGTGCATCGGTTCCCGGCATTCTGCGGCGGATCTTCTTGCAGAACTGCCTGATGTCGCTGCAGGACGTCTCCAGGTCCTTCAGCAGCACGGCGAGGTCGGCCTTCTCCTGACCGGCGTGCAGGAACGCTCGCAGGCGACCGACCTCCACGGCCATGCAGTCCAAGGCACTCTGGGTAAACTGCACCAAAAGACAACAGGCGATGAAGATGTCACTCTTTAGGCAAATAAGTACAGTCAGAAGGTTTGTAGCACACAAGCTGACTGGACTTTGAAGAAGCTAAACATCCAAACTCATAGCTACAGCAAGAATATATAAATATTAAGTGTTAAACTGTACAGGTTGCTACGTTGTACAGATTCCTCACATTCTGTTGTTACTCACTCTGATGTGGTCGGCCAGCTGCATGGTGCAGTCCTCGTTCTGATCCACCAGGTGGATGCTGTACAGGTGCTGAAAAGGGACAAATCTCATTAAAGCAGCTGTAGGAGTCTGTTTGTATTTCATAAAAACAACAGCAATTCTAAAGTAAATTAGGCTTTGTCTGACCCATTCATAGATGATTAGGTCATAACCACAGTGTTGTCAGGTGTGTATTTCTTATACTTGAAAAATGAAGTATATAAAACAGATTGCAAGTATCCAAACTGCAGTATTTAAGTAATAAAACGGTGTCTTTCTACCTGATAGTACTTGATGGCCTTGGTGAGCGGCTCCACGTTCACCGTCTCGTCCAGCTGGTCTTTGTGCAGCAGGTCGATGAGGAAATCCAGAGATCTCTCGTGGACGCTCATCTCCGGGTACAGAGAGCCGATCTTCTTGTAGACGTCCACGCTGCACTGAGCCAGAGCTCTGACACATGGCAGCGTAAACACTTACGTTACTATAATAAACTAGGTGCGTGGAAATAAGGCGACAATAACAGCATATAATGAAATACTGCACCTAAAAAATGAGATGAGTACCATTACACTGAAGAAATTAGAATACGAAATGTTGCACATTAAATCAAATACTACACATGATGCAGAAACTGACATCAAACAAACTGTTGACTAAAGTAATGTTGCAAATGATATTATTTTTGTTTAGATGTGGGATAAAAATTCAGACTAATCACAGTGTAATTGGTCAAAATGACGTTGCTGATGTCTGTCGTTTTTATTCCAGTCAGTCAAACCCTGACATTAAAAGTTAAAACAGATGTTCTGAGCAGAACAATGAGGAGATTATTCATTATGTTAAGGTGTATGGTGGCCATTTTGGTTCTGGAGAAGGTTAATTAAAGTCTAAAACTAGATGCAGAAATCCTGGACAGCACAACGATAGGAACATGAATCAATAAAAACATAGAAGCAGCAGCAGAAAACATTCACAGCTTTAAATGCACCAGTCATCCATCGTTAATTAAACTCACTGCTCGTATTTGTGCAGCGTCGCCTGCAGCAGACTCAGCGAGTAAACTAGACCGCCGGCGAAGCTCAGCTGCTCCCCGACGGCTCCCTTCAGCCCGGCTCGCTCCACACAGTTCTCATTCAGCTCGAACTTCTCCTGCGCCTGTTTGCTGATCAGCTCGGCCTGAAGGCACACAACAAAAAATAACAGGTAAAAAACAAGCTTCCACCTGTTCAGCTGCAGCTCTTGTCCAATCATCTGTGCCACAGCTGTCCTGAAACTTCAGTTTATTAGGGTCCGAGCACTACAGTGTGT